CGTGTAATTAGATCGTAAAAGCTCGACTAGTTTCGGAATCAATGCTTGATCCTTAGTCATGAGTGATTGTGACGCGAACATGAGCCTGACTGCATGCCTCGGCCGGCTGAGTGCGAACTGTAGGCGCTTGCGGAATCGTCACAAATAAGAAAGACGGCGTTCGGAGCTCTTCGGGTATGAACGGCTCGTCTCCGTAGTTTTCTTCTTCGTCTGCCGTGTTATTGCCACTAGTTGACATTATTTATAACTATTGAAGATTGTAGGTAGAAAAGTTATAGGAGGGAAGGCGTTCCACATGTTGATGGTACCTACCCATGTAGACTACTTAGATTTTTAAATAAAAAAGTTCCTTAAGTCGGTACTCCGTATTTAATTGGCAATTCTATTCTTATCCGAAGTTTAATATCCTCAGATTTTGGGAGGTGTTATTTTTTTTAATATACGACTTGAAATCTCAGCAAGCTGACAATCCACCTTAGGCAAAATAGTTACCATCGTCTTAGACATAAATACCATATTAGACATCACAGAACACTGCGACGCCCTCTTTAATGGACTTGCATAATATTTAAAGGTGCAAATTGATTTTATCTCGGCTCAGTCTAGACTTTACATCATTGTGGCCGAGCCTAACGAACCGTGAACACATCGCTGCACTGTCTTACAAGTTACGATAAAAATCACATAATGATCATGAGAGATAGGAAATAAGATTTTTCATTGGAAAACTGGCACTATCGAACACTTTTTAGTATAGCCACAAATTATAAATTACTATATAATAAGCTTTTACTACCGACAACCAATAAGGAAAGATTCTTAAGCTGCGACCTTCTATGGTCAAACGCAGTGTAGAGCTACCCCGAAGTAATTGGAGTAATAACCATAATTTTATTGCAGGGAGTTAATTGATGCGGGTGGGTCATATAGTATACTGTTCCATATAGTATTGTATGGGGGTAACAAAATGTTTAACAGTGAATTGGAAAGTCATTTTATGTAATTATACCTTGACATAGACACAAATAATAAAAATAGACAAGCAAATATTACTAATTTACCATCTATTTTTCAATACCGATCAGCAATAAAAGCACGGAAACCATTGAAAATTAATCGTTCAAAATTAAACTTTATTAACATTGCAACTAACACATTTTTGTACAAAACCACTTCTCAACGTAACCATAAAATCATTGCGTGACAATAAACCGGAAAATCATTACCAAAATTATCTATAATTCAATGCCACAACTTGGCGTAAAGAAAATAATAAATGCGATTACAATTAGATGTTAGAGCTGCATCGCATTTAATGAAATAGCAATCGAATCGAGCAATCGATACATCGGATAAGATAAACTTCTCTAAATGTTCACATAATCCGATTGCGTATTGGTTTGCGAAAATAGTAATGCGCTTAATTGTATATTCTGTACTAGCTATCTCCGCGACCGCGATTTCGCTTGCTTGTACCATAAAAACCTTTAATACAATTAACTTTTAACTATAGATTTTTTAACTCAATATATTATTAAGTAGAGTCAATACTTTATTTAACCATTTAATCCCTTTAAGGTTAACTTTTTAAAACTTTCCATGTGCTAAATTAAGAATTAAATTTAGCTTAACATACTGTAAAAATTCCACCACAATCAGTGTGTATTTGAAACATAATGTAAACCTCTGTCATCTAAAACTACTTATATTCTAGCAAAATAAATTCCATTTAATTTTATAAACATACGATCAGACAAAGGAAATAAACATATTAAAAAAAAATTGTCATTTTCTATTTGAATTGTTCATTTAGCATCTGAATTTCTCAGTTCTTGCTTTTAGAAATTAATAGAAAAATTCCAATATAGGACACAATCATTAAGCTTTAATGACGAATGAAGAAATATTCCGATTAGATATTATCCACTAAACGATTTATCAAATCGGTTTATCGGTCAGTTTGGCATTTGCATGTATCGATTAATATTCACGTACTGCAATCGGTTGACATCGTATGCTTGTGTAATAGTTCTATGCTGACGTCGTATTGCCGGCGGGTGCGAGAGTACAAACACCTATTATATCTTATGGTATTATCATCACGATTTTAGCTATTCACTGTCCACTGCTGGAGATAAGAATGGACACCGTGGAGAGATTTATATAGTTTATTTATTTCCTTGTTTCCGTATCCTTGCAGGATATATCCCAATTCGACATGGTACAGCAAGCAACATTAGTTAGACTTTACAATTACAAAGAGTAAACAATCCAGCCATTGTGAATTTACCCAATAAACATATGAATAAATCAGTGTCTCTATTCGAAATATTATTTAATAAAACAAGTGTAGTAGTTAATAAATAGTCGCGTTCTACTATTATTATTATTTTAGTCTATTTAGTTAGTTAGTTTAGTTTAAAGCAGTTACATTAATGACTGGATTATGATTTTATTGTAAAATATTTAATTTTAACCGCCTACTTAATTTTCTGCTTGCCTCATGGTTGATTGGTAGAGAATGCAATTAGGTGTTAAGTCCGCCACATGTACAATTACTTATTATATAATTGTGCATTGAAGTTTAAATAAATAAATAAATATTTCATACAGATTGATAGAAACTATAAAAATTGATTTATTTATTTTTTCATGTACGTTAACGATATACTTTTGCAAAAATTGGTATGATAAGTAAGTATTGTAAAATACTAAGACGATTTCCGAAATATTTTCAATTAGTCTGTATTTTCTATGATTATGTTGCGAGGCATAATTAAAAAATTTCAAATTTAATGTTCCTACGTCACGAGTGAAGTCACTGCTTTTAAGCGGAGCAAAATATACATTATGAATATTCCAATATAGTACTTTTTAAGTGGCCGTCTAATATAATTTAATAATGTATTAAAAAAAGAACATAATTATAGCAAAACCAGTTATTTTTATTCTGAAATTAAACTACCGAACTTATTTTGATAAAATTTCTATGTTACTAATCTTTACAGATTTACAGGAAGGATACACTTACGTATTCTCCTATCCTTTCAGATAAAAAAGATTTTTCCAAGAAAAACAAACAAAAACAAACAAAGACCTCTCTATCTTTTTGAAGTTGATTGAAACTATTGCGAACGATGTTGCAATAACAGCTAGTCATGATATAAAGAAACGAAATTATCATAAGAATTTTGCGAAATTATCATTTTAATAATTCACGTGGAACAGAACTTAGGTGCCAACCGGAGCGGACCAGTAAACTGATTGCGTCGAAAACCAATCGACCTACTAAAATACGTGCTAGTGCAAATGACTCGTTAGCACATTCATTTCTAGATCATAGATAATAATGTTAATATGATATTGCTCATGTTATTTAATGTTTATGTAATATTATATAATATAAATTTATTACAATGGTGATATTAACCGTTAACTGTCCACTGCTGAACATAAGGGAGAAGGGGTTGACAGTAGTTGTCGCTCTTGGCAGGCGGGTTGGCGACCGCAGTTACTTGGGGGAGAGGGAATTATTAGTAATGAAAATTATCAACCCTATTGCTACCAATAAATTCTATCAGGTCTGTCTCCACGTGGTTTCCCCTGAAAATCATCGTGATTGATTACATCCGTCACGATGGGCTAACTTAGTTTATCTTCACCTATCATCCCTCACTGGTACCCCGTCAGTGTAGAGCAGGCGGGGACACTGTTATATTGTCATCCATTAAAAAATCCCCAGTTACTTAGGGTTTGGTGATGTTTGAAGAGGACCGTTGCTGCCCATCTATCGACCATTAAATTCCCTATTCTATGCTATATATATATATATATATAAATGAAGTAATTTGGTATGTAAAAAGCATATATGTATTTAGACATTTCAACGATTTTCATATAAATGTCTTATACAATATAATAATAAGTTTTTAGCTAAACACAACAGTAAATTGCTTCTTTATTTTTTGTTCTTTATGTAATCCCAAATATAACAAAAGTATTGGACGTATAATTTAGTCCAGAATTGTGCCAATTGACCGAACATCGCTTCCAAACTTCTCGGTCGGGACACGAACCCGGAACTTAATTTATGCGAGGCAACGAACTGGCAACTACGCTATGGCGGTCGATGAAGAACAAAACAATGATTATGCTGTACAAACAGTTACTCCATTGAGTCATACTGAGCATCCTTTCATAACCTTTACCGGGCACTTGCGTGTTTATACATATCCGGCAGAAAGATTATAGCATAGATATATTGTGACAAAGTAGGAATACCGCATTTTTCATACCTAAGCTGTCAACTCACCTACTGTTTGTCCTATTGCTAGCAACATTCTGTCCCGTGCGATCCCGGCTTAAAAGGCCACCCTTGATGACCCATTGCTAGCAATATACCCTATCAAGTCGACCTCCAAGCGATTCCCTCTGTGAACCGCTTGGAGGCCAACTTGCTTGGAAACCGTCATGTGATTAATTCTAGTGGAATTAACAGTCACGGTCGGTTAACTGACCTGCCTTTTCATTCTCACCTGTCATCCCTCACTGGTGCCCCGCCAGCGTATCTCGTTAGCGCAGGTGGGGTTACCATTCCATTATCATCCATTAAAAAAAAATAGTTTAGTAGTAGAGGAATAAGCTGCAGCGTCCCTCTTAAAACATCACTTAAAACCTAACTGCGGTTGCCAATCCGCCTGCCAAGCGTGGTAACTACTGGCAAAACTCTCCTAGGGGGAGACTTATGTTCAGCAATGGACATTTAAGGGCTGATATGATGATTACAATGATTAGCATTCTCACTACTTCTCTATATAAACTATAAGTGTGTAAAATTCTATACTCCTCCGTCCAAGTTATTTTCGTAAAAAGGGGAACAAAGCTGCTTCACGTAGTAATATATAGATTACATTCATTTTTATTTATCGAGGAGAGTCGTTCAATAAGATCAAACGCAGTGTATTAAGTGGTCACGTACGCCACGTACCAAAACAACTAACCTTTTTCAATTAGATCGTTCCATTTCTTTGCCCAGCCCCGTAAGCTCTTCGCGTACGTTTTCTCTATGTCGGCGCGCTCCTGCACCAGCGCTTGCAGCTCACCGCACAGTCGGTGGCCGTCGTCGATCCGCCTGGTTGTACGCTTGTAGTTGCCCGGCTCCCAGAATGAGTCCGAGGCGACTGTGAGCAGGGCCTGCTCGTCGCTGTGGTGGGACATGGCGGTGCGACACTCACACACCGCCCCTCTGTAACAAACAGACAAAACATATTTATTTATTTAAAAAGACGTTGTCGCTTTGCGCAAACGAGGTCTCACGTTCGATTCCCTGTTGAGTTAGTTTAAAAAACAAACTTTTCTTGAATTAACTCGGTTCTGGGTATTCTGGGTTGCGTTTCCAGATAATCGTTACTTGATTACTCATAACATACAGTATCCTACTTTGAAAATTAGGCAATTGTACGGCATAAAAAGATATGTAGCTTAGTGTTGATTAACTGACAGCATGCCTGATGAACCCAATGTAACAGGTTTTAACCTATATCAAACCACCACGTCACAGCATTGGTTCGAATTAGTTTTGAATTTTTATCCACTAAAAATAGTATGTGTTTATATTAAGTTTTTTGTGAGAAGATGAGAAATTTTTAGAATTTTTAGGGTTCACTAAAAACATTAGGTGAATAATACCAAATTTTGATGATTGTTTGAATAGTCAAGGCGTTAAGAAGCAACAAACAAACACACTTTCACCTTTATAATATTAGTAGATTTCGACATACAAGTATGCCATAACATTATATGAGACGTTATCTGAAAGATGCTGTATAGCATAATGGTATAATGTGAAACTCGCTAAAGAATCGATATTTCTAACCAATGGGAGTCATTACTCATTACGTCAATGTGACATGGGTCTTTAGTGACAACATACTCGTAGGCGATATAAAAGTATTAGATGGATGGTAAATAAAACCCATAAGGGTTGTCTGAGATATGATTGAAAGCACATAAATTGTTTTAATTTTTTTATAAAATTAGAATAAATTAAATAATTAATTAAGCACATTTAATTTCAAAATTTTATTTTATATATTAAAGTTATTTTAATAATAATAAAATTCTTTTTTTTTTTATACAACTTAGAATGGCATACAAGCCGACGGCCCACCTGATGGAAAGTGGTAACCGTCGCCTATAGACATGAGCAGTACCATGGACATAATAGAGTATACTGTTTCGCCCATGATACCCCCATGCGTTGCCATATATTATATATATATATATAATATAATATATAATATATCGAGATATATATATATATATATATATATATATATATATATATATATATATATATATCACATTATATTGTGTAATAACATCACTATTCTTATCTATAAGCGATATATAAAGAAATAGAGACATTTGTCTGTATTACTTTGTCACTAACGATCCGCTCCGGCTTCGCATGGGTCAATAGCATAAGGACGCATTCTTAATGTTTTTAAAAATAAAATAAATCCTATATTACTCGTTGACACTGTAGCTAAAATAAGTAATAAGTAGAATTATTAAGTACACCATGTTTTAAGTAAATAAAGAAAATTTACCAGTGTAAAATCAAGTTGTTTATAATTATAAATTGCAGCATGTAATAGGTATGTCTCAGTTTTTATCGAACCTTGTTCCTAATCAGTATGTTATGATAAATAAGATTGTGTTGAAATTGGGTTATTTCGAAATGAGATTATTATTGTATCGTAATTAATTTCACAAGATGATAAAAACGTCTATATTTAACTTGTTTTAAATCTTTTTTTTCTCTTTCTTCTTTTCTGTTAATTCTTATTTGTGCTTATTGCTTCAATCGTAGATATTTTTTTGGCTTATTTTCTTTTATCTGCTATTATAATTTATCATCATTAGAACTATAGTTGTTAATTATATGTATGTATTTAGGTAAATAAGTATATACATAAATATAATATATACTTATAGATGTATATGATTTAGTAACAATATATGTACTTATTTTAGTTGTAAATGCGCCGCCTACTTAATTTTCTACTTGCCTCATGATTGACTGGTAGAAAATGCCATTAGGTCTTAAGTCCGTCATGTATACACTTGCTTATATAATTGTGCATTGAAGTTTAAATAAATAGATAAATTTCATGTTCTTTGAAAAAAAACTAGAAGATAATTAATATCGAATATATTCGATTTACGGGAAACTCACAATTCTTATTTTAAAACGAACATTTTGCTGAGAATGTTGACAGTTAATGGCTGATATTATGATACCAGGTAGGGTTTTTTTAATCGATGATAATGGTATGGTAACCCCGTCTGCGTTATCGGTATACAATGGCGGGGCACCAGTGATAAATGAGTAATAAGGATGAAAGCAGGTCAGTTAGCCCATCCTGACGAATTCAACTAGAATTAGCTACGATGGTTTCCAGGGGCAACCACGTGGAGGTCGACCTGACAGGGTATATTGTTAGTAATGGGGCTATTTGACCTCCATTACTAATAACAGGTTCCCCCTAGCAGGTAGGGTTACCATTCCATTTTCATCTTTGATCAAACCACGCTCTGGTATCATGGTACAAGTGTATGTTCACGAACATGCTTATGTACTCAAGAATTCTGTACTCATAACTTTGGAATTAAGTTTCAAGATACTTCCTGGGTTAACCATGTCATTGATTTTTTTTTAATTATTATAAAATCATTGTTAAGTATCAACAACGGGTGATTCGTAATCTCGTCATGTTAGCTGGTTGTTGCGTCATTAAAGCATTAATGAATATTGCCTCATCGAACAAAAATTCCGCTAAGACTTACAATGATAAAGTAATTTCATAATAATAGTTAGTCATAAAGGTTTGTTTTGAGTCTTATGGACAGGCAACACTATCTTTATTTCTATGTAGTACTACGCACGTTAAAACGTACAAAGAAAGGTTATTGAGTGGCGACCCCGTATGAGCAAACACAGTGTAGAACACTAATACAATTCCTAAAACGAGCCGTTTATCAAAAAATTCTATGTCTTTAAAAATCTCTGATAATATTCCTATAAATATAAAGGAACTTCCATTAAAACTAATTTAAAATTAGATTACGTAAATGGTTATTTAACAAAAGCTTTTACTCATCATAACCTTTTGCGGGCTACACTTTCCTTTTCTTCTTAAAGCCATATGACTTACAGCTTGCAGGGATAGGTGCTGTGCACTATAAGCCACTACTTGCATCCTTCTCATGTGACTCATCGTTGGATCTATTTCTAATGTATATCTCTTATCTTTATTCCCGTGTTTATCTTATATATTTATTACTGTTTTATATATTATTCTTATATATTTATACATTACATCTCTTGCACACATGTGTCCGTGAGTTACGTATTTAGGGCCTACTAAAAATCAGTGTCGTAGCTTCAGATTTGAAACTGCGACATATGCCGAGTTAGGTCCTTTGCACAAACACTGCTACATTCATTTTGTTTTTTATATGTTTTTCTTTTATTTTAAATTAAAAGGTTAAATAGTAATGTTATTATACAATGCTATTATATGTAGACGTATTTTTTTAGAATAGATAAATATCTAATACTGCGGGTCTACCATGAAATGAAATTCCGAAGTTTCGGACTCAATTTCGTGTTTTTGTTTTTACCAAAATCGGACCAATAAATGGAGTTTAACATTTCGTTCGTCAGAAATCCTACCATAAAAGTCCCAAGGAATAATATTTTCATATTTTTAATGTTATTAAACGGTAAGTATTATGTAATTTTAACATTAAATTTCTGTTTCGTTCGACTCCGAAATTGCAGAAAACATTTTATGGTAGGCCCTCAGTTATTGTCGATGCATGAATTGATCAGTTCCTATCAAAATAAATGCATGCTATTCTGTAAATGGTTAAATACGCTAGAATCTTTATGTAATATAAGACCACGAATACCTACTCTATTTAATGCAAATTAATTTATTATTTTTATTTATATTAACACTAGCGATCTACCCGACTTCACACGAGTAAAGAGAATTTTTGAAAAAACATTTAGCCTATGCCACTCTTAAATAATGTAACATTCTATAGATGAATAAATATTTTAAAACTGGTTAATTAGTTTTTGAGTTAATCCATTACAAACAATCGATCAACCATTTCCTTTTTATAATATTAGTATAGATTTTTTCTAATGTTCGTATCTATGTTTGTATGATTAACATAACATGGAAAGTCGATGTGGTCGCTAAGATGTCACCTTCATGTAGGTTGCTGCGGGCGGTGATCGCTCAAACGGTCAGTCCTTAGTCGCTTTGCAATCGCGTCAGTGGGCTAAAATGTCAAGTTCAATGTCATATATATATATATATATATATATATATATATATATATATATATATATATATATATATATATATATATATATATATATATATATATATATATATTGTTTTTCTATTTATATGATCATCAGCTTACGCCATTAAGTATATTTTCTGTTATTTTTGTCTACGGTCGATTGGCAGATAACGTCATATTGCGTTAAGTCCACTATTTAGGTATATTAATAAATAAAATTTAATAAGTAAGTAATTATATCTCCATCTATATAATCTCCATGAATGCCATAATTGCCATTAAATTATTTTAAATTAAAATTGAAAACATGGTTAAATAATGGTAAAATATAAATGCTGTGACATTGACTTAGTTTAAATTTAAATTGTAATTTTAATTTTATTTGACATTTTTATTATTTTATTATTTGTAGTAGCTTTATTGACTGTTTGTAATGCATGACCAAAGTGACACTTCGTACTAATAGTGATTTATTGTATATGTAATTGAAAATTAAATATATGATGTACCTGTATAAAATAGAAAATGGATAAATTCAATAATTAATATTTGCATGCCATTTGATGTGGCGAAACATAATGGACATCTTATAAACTTCACAAATGCAACACCTTTTCTACAATGTTTCTAGCAAATAAATTTCATTTCATTTCATTTCAAAAAAAAATGAAAATCCAAAAGAATAAGAATACATATAATGTGGTACAAATCTATGTAGGTCCAGTAGTGGGACGTTAATAGCCTGGTATAGTGATGACGATGATGATTTATGTATGGAACATTCGTTGGAAAGCGTCGTATGCGCTTAATATGTATTGGAAATCTTATTCAGAGATACATATATAGCACACGTATAGA